TACAAAGGTTCTGGTAATGTTGGTTGGCATAAAAAAACAACTGTGGCAGGCTATAAGAAAACTATTGAAAAAAAAGATACCAAAAGGAAATAAAAAATAAAACCTGTTGCGTGGGATATTTTTTTCAGATATTCGAGATAGTTATATGTCCACAGATTCCGTATTGTAGCGTGCAACAAATCTGCATGCACCATTTGTTGGCTGTCAAGCTGCCTGCCAGACCTGGACAATACGGTTACAATTGGCACTGTATCCATGACTCATGACCAGTCTGAAGCCGTGTGCTTTTGCGGTTTGTCCAGCAGCCAGCAACACTCGTTGTCAGCTGCATAAATGCTCAAAGAGTCTGAACTGAATTGTGGTTTTTGGTTGGCAAAAAACCTGCAGGCTCTGGGGCGCCTGCCGTTAGCATTAAGTCATCGTGTTTAGTTCAGAAGCTGAACAATTGTTTACTTTGAGCTTGGCTGGTTGGTTGGTTGGTTGGGTTTAAAGCCTAGCAACCGGTTCGCATTCAAATTTTGACTATGTAGAATCCATTAAAAATAAACACCCAAAAGTTTGTACAATAAACAACAATAGCATCTTAGCGACGACTAAGTAAGACTCTACGAATACCTAGCTTTAGTAGATTATAAACATTTATGAAGTTTTTTAGGGCCATTTTGTAAAAACGTTTAAGACAACAAGATGAGACAAGTTAAGAATACATTAAATCCTAACTGAGTCCGATTATTCGCACACTGCGTAAGAACAATATAATAAATTATGGTATCTACGAGATGAAGACAATTTAAAATTGTGTTCTCTTAAATTTTATTGATGATTTTTAAGATGATTTTTTCACTAATATTTAGAGTTGCCTCCTTAAAGTTTAATTTTATAATGTGAAAATCATGGAATTGTACATATAACATAATAATATTTAAAATCACATTTTAAGCTTGTCGCTTAGTTGGGAGCAAATATTGCTTTTTTAGTACAGATGCTGAATTTTATTGCACAATTAAACAGTGCCCAAAATATCAAACACAAAAAATCAACAACAACAACAACAAATCCACAGAACACCTCAAAAAATGACGCAAAAGAACAAATTGCCAACTTTGGCCAAGAAACAGCAACAACAATCGTAACAAAATGTTGTCTGGCAAACATTTTGGGCATGAACGAATCGAGCAGGCCAATTATCGATGGTAATGCTAGTATTATATATGTTTGTTTATAATTCTGTACATACTGCACAAGCTAATTGTATGCCAAAGATCAACAACTGTTTGTATTGCCTTTGGATACAGAGAGGAAATACAAAAAGCCATTGCCTTTGGATACAGAGAGGAAATACAAAAAGCCAAGTAATTTGCAGATGTTAGTAGGAGACAAAATGCAAATTATAATTTGAGATTGCAATTGATATTTGAGACAAACAGATATATTTATGTTTTTTTTGTGTGCTTTGAGACTTGGCCACTGTTGTTAAGCTGCACACACAGGCAGCATATTCAATTGGATATAATTTTAGTTGCCAAATCAGGCCAAATTAGCAATATTTCATTTTAACTTTGTTTCTGTGCCAATTTGGGAGCCAGCCAAATGCAATTATTGGCTTGCCACATGCGCAAATGATCGTAACTTTGCCAACATTATTGAGCACATAGTATTTAACACAAGGTTTGCCAAGCACATCAAATATTACGTATACGCAGCGTACACAAGGACAAGCAATCACAAGTACAATGAATTGCAGTTAGGCTGCAGCATGTTGCTGCTGTCATTGTTGCTGCTGCAAACAATAACGAAAGCCAGTAAGCCGCCGCAAGGCAGGCCAAGTTCAAAGTTCAACGAAAGACGAGATAAGCAACAAAGGCAGCAATTAAAGTCTACAGAAGAAGCTTGTTGACAGCCAGAGGGGCTAGCTGGGAGCTCTTTGTATGCAGCATGCATTTGCAGGGCAAATAGAAAAAAGCAAGTTTTTGGACAATGAACCTGCAGGCAGCAACAATAAGCTTTGCATTAAATAATCATAAATAACTTTGTTGTGCGGTAATCGCATAGCCACAAAATACCTATGTTGCTGCCGTCGCTGCTGTTGCTGCTGCCCATCGACCCGCCGGCAACTTGCACTTTTCTTTTGTTTTCGCAGAGCTTTGTAGAAAGTGCACATATAACGCATCGGGCTAGCTGCCCATGTGGGGGTGAGCGGCAGCGTTGCCAGCTGTTTGCACGCGCTTAATTTAAGCAACTGGCAACTGGCAACAGTCTGGCAAGCCAGTCAAGTAGAAACTCACGAGCCTGACAGCTGACGTCGCGACTTGGCTCGTGAGAAATGAAATCAATTGAGCTGCCATCGTCTGGCGTTGCCGTGTTGCCGTTAAACGAACTCGAAGTGCATTTGTCTGGGCTGCGAGTGCAACCCGGTGTGGCATAATTAATCAGTGCAACATTTGAAAGTCAAAGCTGGGGCGGTCAACAATTGAGTTGCTGAAAAAAAAACACGCCCAAGAGGAGAGCGACTCAGCTGAAACTTGACATTTAATTGGCATTAATTACCTGTGTGTACTTTGCGACCAATTGGCGAATGGCCGACAACAACTTTCACTGTCGCCTACGCCAAAAATGGCAAGCGTAGCGAGCGAGACAGAGAGAGAGAGAGAGAGAGTAGTAGGTACCCCTAGAGAAACCTCAATTGACAGTTTCAATTAAGGCAGCGGCAGCGATATTGAAGAGATCTCGCAGTTGCTGCTGCTGCTTCTGCGGTTGTTGGTTATCTATCTAACGGCCACTGGATACACCCGCCAACAACTTCAACTAGACGGCGCGCTGTCGCAACAGTTGCATTGGGTGCGCGCGTTTTCCCTGCGGCTTTTATCGCGTCGCTTTTCACACGCACACTGCAAGAAACGCGTTATTGCTGCCTGGTTTTTGTTTTTGTTTTTTGCAATATATTTTCGTGCAATTTGCTTTAATGCACTCTTCATGCAGACAACAACAACAACAATGGGTTGGGGAACTACTGTCAGTTTATGGCATTAAATGTGACTGACATTTTTCTTCATTAAATTCAACACATTGTCAACAGTTTAGCAGATGATGATGCTGCTGCTGCTGACGACCCGACACTACGTCTTGCTTGCGCAATGCAAATGCAATTTTTCAGTTTGTCAATCAAGCGAGTGTGGCCCAGCTGGAGACAGCTGAACTTATATGGAGTCGTAGCATGTCTGACTGGCATCAAGTCAGTTGAGTGGCCAGCGTTTTGGCATTTAGCGCCTCATCATTTGCTGGCCACTAAAAATGTATGAATTAATAGCCAGTTCCGCCACATGAACGCTGCCACAAAGCTGTGCAACAAATTGGTTCTTGCCGGTGCCAGCAACATGCTTTGTTATTGTGCCACGTGTGCTGCATGCGCGTTGACATGCCACAGACATACTTAAATATACATTTTTGGGGGCACTCACAAGATTATTTCGTATGTGTGTGTGTGTGTGTGTCTTGAAAGTCTCAAAATATATTTTTACAACAACGGCAAGGGCAACAACAAAAGACCAAATTGTTGTAGCAGCAGAAAAAATCGGATAACGAGATGAATTTGTCTTGCTTTGTTTGGCTTGAAGTGTAATTTTGATAGAAATGGAAAGTTTTATTGTTGTCGTCTTTAATTTCAAAGCAAATCTCTCAGACTAAACGTTTCGATGCAGCTGTCATTTGTTGTTGTTGTTGTTTCGTATTTATGTTGTTGTTGTTTATTTTCTAACTTAAAATCTATTGTCTCCACACTTAAGTGTTTACTTGTGTTCGCGTTTTTACAATGAGTAGGGGTGTAGGAATCCGTAAAATATTAAAACAATTATAAAATGGAAGGCGTAAAAAAAAATATTTTTTTAATTAGACTGACTCTGGTATTGGCGAGACTGTTGTATACTTCACGTTTCACAATGAATTATACATAGGCGTCTCAGGTAATATTTCGTCCTCCCTTTCACGGATATTGTGTGCATCTTTTTAAGTTAATATTGTATACTCTATTCTTTAAATGTAATAATCCTTGTCGAAGTGGCTAGCTTTATATTATACGAGTTATACTCAATTTACTACCCTGATTTGAAAACGATAATATGAATCGATTTAAATAAATACCAATATTAATTTGGGTATTTACAAACGACTTCTAAGTATTTTTAAACGAGTTAAGCATTTTTAGATATATAAATATTCATTAAATGAATGGAAATGGTCATTAAACATCTGTCTATTTATATTTTAATGGATTACAGTATTAGTTATAATATTCATTCAATATTAACTAGAACACAAAATGTTATAATTATAATGGGAATAAAATATAAACTTAGCTACATTGCTCTGAGAAAGTTTTCAGTTGGAGCAAAAGGGTTTTCTGATTAACCGACTTGCCTGGAGTTCATGGGCTTTCAGTTAATGTGCTCCACACATTGTTTTGTGTGGAGCCAATTATGGTATTTAATTAAATATGCTTCTAGCGATATGTAAGCAGCTGGAAGGCAACGACAATTGGCAAGTTATGTTTGCAGTCTATGCATGCGATTTGCAGTCGATGGCAATTACGATTGAAGTTGGCAATGCTTCCCGGTCTTGCGACATGGGAAGGCCCCATGGGGCCTGGGAGCCAGCCAAGCTACCTTCGACGCCCCCTTTCACTTCTCACCTGGCAACGACAACACGTTGTTAGTGGCAGTCGCCTCGAATTACAAGTGTTTTACATGCCAGCGTCTGGCAGGTATTCAATTGGATTCGGAGTCGCATTCGCAGTTGCAGTTGCAATTGCAGTTTGCCTTCAATTACATATGTACATTTGCATTTTTGTGGCAAATTATAGAGAAGCGTGGGCGTAATAGGCGTGTCAGGGGACTAAGTTGCATGACAAGCTGTGTGTCGCATTAACGCATTTTTGCATTCTGTGCGAATTTCGATGGGAAAATTATGAGCTAGGTAGCAGTAGGTAGTGTAAACGTGTTTCTTACCTGCTTGAACTTTGTTCCTGGCACGTTTGCTGCTCGTTTGGGTTTGTGTTTGCCTGCAAAAGATGAAGCAATGCATAATAAACATTAATTTGATTGTTGTCAAAAACAATTACAGCAAGTACAACAACAAAAACTACATTCGGCACAGTTCAATGCCCGACGGGCACATGCAATTTTATATTTGGCCAGCGCACGTTGCCTGAAATCGAATTACCAAATGTTCAAGCCGTGCACCCCAACTGCCCCGCCCCCCCCCCCCCCCCCCCCCCCCCCCCCCCCACTTTATGGCGCCAAGGCTGGCCTGGCCAGATTCAAGCAATGACCCGAATTCGATGCACGTTGCGCTCGTATTTCGTGTCTCCCTTTGGCTATACCCGTCCTGCCAAGCAGCCAGCTGTTGCTTTTGGCTTGAGTCTGGGCTTGAGTCAAGTCAGGCCCAGCCGTGTATATAGTATACCATATGCACACTTTGGCGCACAAGTGCTGGCATTTCGGGGCATTTAATCGACACCCAAAGTCTCGGTGTCGTCGTCGTCGTCGTCGCCTCAAGTAGTAATCGATCCGCCTGGGCTGCACATTTTTTATTGTCACTCTCACAAGCTGTTGACCAAGTTAGTGCGGCCAACTTATGCACTTGAGCACTTGGCTTTATGCTGAACAAAACACATAGAAGCTTTTATCAAGGTTAACATGCCAAGTGACAAGTGGTTTTTGCTTTTACCACTTTTAATAGCTGGCCATGGCGCACACTTGTATTTGTGACCCGTCGAACCGACTGCCCCGTTTAAAGTGCTTATTTAAAACTAATTTTTATTAGTTTTGTAGACAACAATTAATGACCACAATAAATCGGACATGCAAGTCCACGTATTTGCATTTAATTCAAGTAAGTTATTAATGGGATTAGTTGTTTATGCAGATTCGTATTTGAGAGCACAAGGGAGTAATATTGAATTATAAATCTGAAGGTAAACGAAAGTCCATTGTCGTTCTAAATAAATGTGTAAAGTTAGTCGTAATCGGCTCTTGATGTTGATGGAAAGAGAATGTGTGTATCATTTATAGAGTGGATTGTTTTTAGTTATTTTACTTTATAAGAATAGACTTAGAAATGTTCACAGAATATACTTTTCTAAGAGATTTAGAATTAGCATATAAAGTGTTGGGAATAAAGTTTAATATGCTAAAAACATTGGTTTTAAATATATCTTTCGAAATCTAAATATCAGGTCCTGGTCCTGGTTAGCTCCAAGGTTTGAACATAAAGGATAATCATAAAGAAAGTATATATTTTTTTCTTGATAGTTCACGCGCCTGACCTATTGGAAATAACACGTATGCATTTTTTGAAAGCACCAGAAAACACACCTACCCAGCGTTAAATCCAATTACCACATTGTCAATTGCAGTGCGGCTTTTTTAATTGACTTTCTGGTTGCCAGCTGCATGCACGCCGCAGGCAGAAATCGCAGATAAACTGATCGATGGGGTTACGTGGGGGTGGAGGGTATATGGCATGGTTATACTACTAACGGCTGTTTAATTAACAAACATTCCATTTAGCACTTGATCCGCTGCTGGATCTGTTCATTAGCATAACGAATGACAGCAAGCCGCCGAGTGGGCTGCTGCTGAAGCGTGCCGAGGTGCAAGGTAAGAACTGGATTCGGAGTCAGAATCCAAATCAGTCAAATACAATTAATTGTTGGCATTTTCTATGGCTCTCGTGTACAGTTAATGGCCCTGGGCTTTTGAATAGGCATATGCCGAATTTGCTACGCTTTCGGTATCGGTATATCGGTATACACATACCATGCATATGCTACCAAGAACTGGGCTCTGAAATGGAGCAGCTTTACGCTTTGGACCACCAGTTGTAGCCAAATGCTGATTTCCATCTAGAGCAATAACAAGAGCTCCAAATTGTTAGCGTCGCATGTTCAGGAAGTTACTTTGGCTACCTTTTTTGGATTCAACAGAATTTCAACAGCTCCAAATGAAGTACGTGAACCACAGACATCGCCAGCCCATTGCCGGCGTCGTGTGGGGGGAGGGGGGAGGGTTGTTGATAATAAAGCAAACACTGAAGGTCATTACCGGAAAAACGGGTTTCTCTTGTCTGCCCCAGCGAAGTGAGTAAGCATTTAGCATTAAAATACCGTTGGGATTATGACACTGAATATGCATGGGCGTTCGCCTTAATGGCCAGTGCTAAATGCTGCCAGTTGCCAGTTGCCAGTTGCCCGTTGCCAGTTGCCCGTTTCTAGTTACCAGTTCCAGTTGCCCGATGCCTCGTTCAAAACTGGCTGCAGCAACTGCAGCAGCAACTGCAGCGGCAACTGCATCTGCATAAATTATGCACCCAGAGACATTTGCAAATTGTCATTCGTTGGTTGGAATATCCGCAACAACGATGATGATGTTGTTGCTGATGATGATGATGATGTTGATGATGCGGATGACACGCCAATTGAAGTCGGGCTTGAAGCCCACGCCAGGCCAACGCCTCATTGCTAGCTGCTTGTTACTGTTTCTTGTTGTTGTTGCTGTTGTTGTTTCTGGCGTTTAACTGCATTTTATAAAAGGTCAACGCCGGCGTCTTGCATGAACTCAAGGCAATATCATGACATTATGTGGCATCTTTTTCTTTAATGTTTCTAACGTGAAGTATTTGATTATTGAACAAGAATGTGTTTAAAAGGTTAGACCTATCAATAGCTTAAAAAAAAAAAAACAGAAAAAATGAATCTTTCATCAAAAAGACGAACTTTACGATTTAGTATATTGATTTGGTAGATCGATAATAACATAAACTACAAAAACTAAGGCAAGTCATGAGCTAGAAAGTCGGAATTTGCAATTGATCGATCGCTTTTCAAGTATGTGCATCCCATTTTGATAATGTTCCGACATATTTTTAAGGGCATCTTTTGATTGATATCAATATACAAATGTAAAATAAATAGTTGTCCATGTTAAGCCTCTACTAATTTATTATTAGTTATGACAGCAGATAAAGCAACATTAAGCTAGTTCCTAAATATCAATACACCAATCTGCACTAAGCTTTAACATAATCATTTCTGAGCTGAGAATTTAGTTTGCATATAAAAATAAATTGAACTTTGAGGGCACAGAAAGTTTTTCCTTAAAGCAATATATATTATAGTTTCGTTTATAAACAATCTTTTAACAACGCTCTGTTACATATTATAAGTAGTTAAAGCACTCTTTCAAAAACTGGCGGTTGTTCCAAAGCATTCTTGAAATTCTGGTTTGCCTCTAAGACCAAAAATATTTCCCAATATTATTGCTTTTGGCTAAACGAATTTGTTATAGCTTCTTCCAAATGTAACTGTGAGTGGCATCAATAGATTGAGAGCTACTTGGAAACCGGTTAAACACATCTAATGTCTGCATTGTGGATGGACACAGGCGCAGCGAGAGACAACAAGAAATGTCAGCTTCTTATGATTGGATATTTATGCGCAGTCAAAACCCAAAAGCACAAATTATGTCGATGCCGGCGATGCCGTTCTTTTCTAACCGTTAACGTGGCCAGTGCAACACCATTCGAAATGCAGAGAGAAGTGTCTTTGGCCACGTTGCAACTTTCTACAAAAAGAAAAAACAAGTTGAGTGGCATCATTTGCTTTTGCAGCATGACTACGCCCAACAGTCCAAGTCGGCGACCGAGTGCGAGTAAGCCTCACAATTGAATGCTTCAATGGAGCAGAAAACGTTTGGGTAGCAAAATCGTTGCTGCAACTTGCAACGCGCACAACTTGCCCCGTGCTCGTCGCGTATGTCACTCGCTCTTGATTTGCTGCAAATGTCACTGCAAATGAAGCTCAAGTTAATTTGCTCAAGCATTGGCTCGCCTGGCTGCCCGAAACTGGGGGCATGACCATTTCCAGTTGAGCGCAACGCAGCGCATGTTAACTTATGCATTAATTTCGGTTGATAACCGACAAAAGAGTGAAGAGTTGGCGAAAAGGCGCAACTTAATTGCGCGCATAGCTGAAGCAAATTGCTATTTAGCTCGCCAATTAATTTGTCAAAAGCTAAACGGCCTTTTGGAGGCTTAGCAGTGCCTGTGCCGGGTCCACTCTGCTGCAGCTGTTGCCTCTAGATAACGTTGTGCGACTCGTTGGCAGGTGTCACAGCTTTCACCTTGACCGGTTGCCAAATTGAAGTCAAACATGTGCAGCACTGCTCAAAACACTATGCAAAATAATAATCACTTAACAAAATCTGACGCATTTAATTAGATAACTTTGCGTTGATGTGTTCACATCAGTTTGAGCCAAAACAAAGAACTTCCCTTCACAAATGCGAGCTAAATGCGAGTCATTTGCTTATTTGCATTTCAAAGCTAGCCAAATTGAACAAAGACAACTGCAAAAGGCATTGAAGAACTCAGCATTTTGGTAGTTAATTAGCGGGAACGCGTTGTGAGCATGATAAATATCCAAGACATGGCAATAGAGAAACACAAAATACGAAAGGTGGTCACAGCATGAAAGCTGGAAGCCGCAAATGATGCCGACTATAGAAATACTGGCATGCGAGTATTATTGATCGAAAGTTGAACGAACTGCGTCCAGATTGTAAATTGGTAGCCGTGTATCACATAATTATGGGCTCCCCAGCAAATAGAACTACGCACAAAAGACAAGGCCTCGGCGATGAGAGCTCATGCCATAGCAAATTAATTACAAGTTTCTGGTATTTTGCTCGCCAAAACTTACATAACCAACAAAAATAACATTATTATAACAGAAGATGTTCTTGTCATAAAAAGATCTTTAAATGTCCTTAATAAATGTGTACCAAACATTTTAAAAATCGTCTTTAAAATAAGGTAGTTTTTTAATGGCAGAATCTTTAAACTCCTGTAAGAGAATCTACCTTCACACATTGCACTTAAGATTGAGGTAAGCTGCAGACTCTTAGAAGACGATTTAGCAAAGTAAACAAAAGTTTTTTTGATGAGTTTGCATGACATTTTTCCTAGCATTTATAGAGATACACAAGTAACTGACATCGTGGA